GTCATCTCGCCAGGATGTTCACCGGCCAGGAAGCCAAGAGACTGTGCCGAGAGCAGGGTAATTCGGTAGCCACCGGCCTCGATGTAGGCCGCACAAGTCATTGGGTAGATGTTACCTTGTAGCGGTATCTTCTCATAGTAGACCCGTCGAATGAACTGCAATGCACGTGAGGCGTTAAGCAGTTCTGTCCTCAGCAAATAACATGCCAATTAAATTGAAAGCATAGCGCGAAGTGGCCCAAAAGGAAGTTTACTGAGAGATCTCCCTTTCCGAATAGTCTAGCAACTTTCTGGATGATTCAAGCCGGAGTTAAATAAAGAAGGGAAAATAAAGTGAGCTTCCAGAAAAAGGAAGCTCATTGAAATTTCCGGCAACTTCATGAAGCAAGTAATAGAAGGGGTTAAGAGGGGTGAGTGAACATGGACAATAAACTACCTAAGCAAAATGACTTACCTACCATCAATTAACCTATGGGAATTAATACTGATAAAGCTCAACCAGAGCTGATTTAAAGTATTATCATATGATAGTGGTTAGCCTGCTAGCACCAACCACATCTAGCTCCCTCAATATGACAACTGTTGTAGTAAAATGTTCGATACTATTGAAAGGTAGTTATCACTGAACTGTCCTCCCAGTAACCACTATCTACCTTTTCAGTATAAGTCTATATCTACCTAACAAACAAACCAATCGGGATTAAATTTGGTTGGATTAACTGTCTGTCGAATTGACCGCCGCCGACTCTACCTTTGTCAAATGAGCATTCCCGAGAGTCAATTTTTAGCTGAGTATTCTTGACATCAACAATTTCTATCATGCAAAATTACTCTCTTCGCTGTAAAGTTGTTGTTTTTTTCCATTTTTGCTTTTACTGAACCTTCGAAGACAAGTGGTTTCTGCTTAAAACAAGCTCCCTAATTCGCACACTGTCGACCATGCACAAGCCGAAAAACGACGTGCTTTGTGGAAAAGACGAATTTGTTTTAAGTCTTTCCCTGTATTCTAAGAATACTGAATACTCCCAAGAGGTGCTTTATCAATATCAACCCTTATCAGGTGGTAAGGACATAAATTCCCGATTAACAGATCCGATTAAACAGCCGAACGTCCCATATAACCTCCCCCACCCCGTGCCTACTCCGACCTGATCTACTATAAAAAATTGTTTTTACTGTTTCAGCCGAGATAGAAGAGTTTAAAAAGATTTTAACCACAGTGTTATTAAGCCGGAAATGGCCATTCAAGTTTTTTGTTGGTATTGTGCGACTAATGCTGGGGCTTAAGAGTTAACTCCAAGGCAAAACGGAACAAGTGTCTCCAACAATGCAATCAATGATCACCCAGTTAACAGTAAAATAGATGCGGCGAGAAGAAGTGTAATAAAGCTCATAGGCAATAGACTGCATAGCCGAAATGTAAACAAAAGAGAAATGCACCTGAAGACAATTGGAGTCTGTGAAAAAGACTCGGTTTGTGTTGTTGATGCCGGTACTCAACCTCATGACGACCTCGTGGTTGTCATTTGGAAAGCTGAGATCCAGAATGTTCTCGACTTCGATGGCCAGCTGCACAGGATTACCTATAAATTTTAAATAGCTCAAATGAAGTCACTGTGATACAAATGACTGGAGGGAGGAGAACTGGGAACTGTAAGAAGCAATGACATGACAAGCTTTAATCAGAAAATTTAGCTTCAGTCTCAGCAACACTGTTAATAATGTTAGTCATTGTTCCTAGATTATAAAAATCCAATGTGCTAAATCAAGAATTTCGACCGTCGGTTTCGACGAGGTCCACCGTGTGCTTCAGAGATGGTGACTTACGCTCAAGTATATTGGGCGTCGACTTTCGATACATCTACCTCAAGCCTGGAGACCGTAGATGCGGAAGGATTATAACGTACTTGAGAGGGTGCAGCGGCGGGCAACAAAATTAGTAAGGATCCACCTCAATAATCGTAATCTCTATCCTCTGAGTTATAGGCAGTTACGCGGTGCTTTGATACAAACCTTCCGTATCTTGCGTGGCTTGGACTGCGCTCTCATGTGTGACGACTTTTTCAAACTCGCCAC